AGGGCTGGTCAGGACTCTCCTCTGTTGGCAGCTGGCCCAGCGGAAGGCTGGAGACAACACAGCCAGAGAGAAACAGCTGCAGCAACCGGATGGGAGCCGGCTCTCCACTCTAAGACCCGCCTGCACACTCCCATGAACTCCTCCAGAGTCCTCTGCAGGAAGCCCGGTGGCCTCACGTGCTTTGGGGCCTGGCGATCGAACCTGCCTTGCATGGCCAAGGGCAGAGATCCTGCCTCGGAGCTGGACAGGCAGCCCTCCCGTGACCTTGGTTCCCACACACACACCATCTTATGACTGATGCCAGGCATGGATGGGCACCCCTCCTGACAGGTGGGAGCTATAAACTCAACCCCAGGAGGGTGGGAGGCTGACTACCATGAGCTCGGGGTGCTGGTAAAGAGAAACATGGGTGGAGCGTCTGCACGTGCACCACTAGACCTCAGCCTAAACCCACCCTGTCCACCTGCCATTAGGAGTGACAGCTGGGAGACGCTCCTCATAGATCTTTTCCTGCTCCCAAGGAAGCAGGCGGGAGGGCCAGGATCTCCCTAACCATCCACACAGCCAGTGTCTGGAGTTAGACACCCGTCTTCCTTCAGCTGAGGGTCCCACAGGACATGGCGGAGTTCCAGGCCCACAGTAAACACTCCATGCATGAAACACTAAGGGCCTGAATCCCATGGCTCCAGGCACAATCGGTTGATGACCCTCTGAAACGGAAGACCTTGAGTACTCAAGTATCTTCATAGCTTCCTAAGGGACATATTTTCTTCTTAGGAATGGAGGAAGTTTCTCCCAATTTTGAGCCATTCTTTTATAGCAATTCTACAAAATTGTATGTAACTTTATATATTTACAAGACACAGTTTTGTAAATATTTATATATTTACATATATTACAAATATTCCACTTGTTTGATTTGAAATTGTAGATGTCAAGTATTCTGGTGTTTTTTTGGGGGGGGTTAGGTTTTATTATACTTTGTTAAAAAAGGAAAAATTGTATATTTTTGAAATACTTGTATGAGTAAATTTAATGTACTGAAAATAAAAATTNCAGAATCATGTGTGGAATATTTACAGATTTTGCTTAACCAGTATCCATTTCCCTTTCATAGGTAATAGCATCCAAGTTTCTTATGAACAGTCAATCTGCTCCTTCTTCAAGCCATAAGGTAGGGCTAAATTAAAGCCTCTTTCCAAAGTCAGGGATCTGTCACTGGTTGGGTCAGAGAATCATACTCCACGGGCCTCAGTGACTGGTTCAGGGATAGGCCACATAACCCAAGCCTGGCCATGAATCCTTCCATCCTCCCAATTTGGCTAGTGCTATACAGAAAGAGACAATGTGGATTTTAAAAATTATTTAACACTAAACTTGCCATTGATTATCTTTACCATCATACCTGCCCAAAAGGAAGCCAAAGAAGAAAGGAATGCTTAGAGATGGAGATAAGGAGATATTTCTGATTAAATAAGAAAGGCTTCTGGATCCAGTCAGATCAGAACCTAGCTTTAGCTCTACTCTGTTAACGTCCTGTTTACAAACCTACAAAATGACTTTTTTTTTTAATGACCTTTTTGACTGATTAATTTTAGCTGGGTTTCTGAACTTGCAACAGAAACAAGCTCTGATAGATACTGGCAAAATACTGCCATACAATTGAAAACAAGGCCTCATTTTTTCAGTCATTTTCTCAAACTTGTCAAACAGACTGGAAGAGCCAGTAGACAAAGAATAGCTTATATTCATGCCCATTCTCTGTCCATCACGCCATCTGCCATGAGGGTTTTAAAATTTAAATGTCATAAACAAATTCATTCATGTTTGTTAAAGTGTGACTGTAAACTCCTCACAGCAAAATATAAACAATATTAAGGAACTCTCAGTTATAAAAACCTAAGTATCAATATTTAAAGCATTCACAAAATCTTTTCCTATCCAAAGACACTCCACATGTCCACCATCACTATATGGTGGCTAGAGTGGAACAAAGTCATACTGAAATATTTTTTTCTTGCCATATCACCACTTCGAGAACATTCATGATAGTCCTGCCTTTTAATATGGCTATCACTGTTCATGATTCATTTGTTTCGATCTCAAACAAAATGTGTCACACACACAGTATATTATTTAAAAAAAAAAGTTTCTGGACTTTTTGAAAAAACAAGTATTTTTTACTCTAAATACTCTTTTCTACCTGTTGCACACCTCCAACTTTTACCCATTTGTCTCTGGAAAATGCCCAGCCCTTTCCTATTCCTTTTGCTGATACTTCAGAAAACTCAAAGTAATACATACATTCTGAATACAAAGGAAAAGATTACATTTTGAAGTGAAACAAGACAAAATACAGAAATGATGTTTCACCTGTTGGGTCTTACTTGTGTTGCCACAAAATTCACATGCACAGAAAATTAGTCTCTAGTAGCTAGTAACAAAGTGGTTCTTGACCCACAAAACTACCCTTAAAAATCACTGTGTTATCTGTGCCGCCCTTCTTGCTTCTACTTGAGCTTAGTCTCCGGCATTGCCGTGCAGACTAACTCATGTAGAAGCAAGAAAGGAAACCTTACACCACCAGACAATTTTTAGAGGTCTTGTGAGATTAAGCAAGACCAAAAAAAAAAAAAACAAAAACAAAAAACAAACAAACAAACAAACAAAAAAAAAGATGTCCTATTTCTACTCCCATTTCACAGATGAAGAAACTGTGGCACAGTGGGGACTAATAAACAACCTGCCCAAAGACCCAAACACAATTAGGTAAATAAAGATCACTTACGTTCTTGTAAACTGGATCCAGTTAATGATCCCAACTCCTCTCCAAGCCCTCGAGATGGAAAGCAGACCCCCCACCACCACCCTTTTCCTGAATATCACTCGGACCCCAACACAGCTTTCTCCTTTGAAATCCTTTTCACCCAGGTCTCCTAGCTCTCCCACCCAGATTCCTGCAGCAGTCTCCAGCTGAGTCTCTCCTTCCTGGGATTTCTAGCCCCTCTGATCTTTCCTGTATCCTGGACAAGACGAACCCAGATAAAATGCCACTGTCCTGAGCTCATTCTGCCGGAATGTTCCCCAAGTGCAGATTCCAATTATGTTGCTTTCAGTAGTGTGTGATTTGGGCAAAGTACCTGACCTCCCAGGGCAGCTCTTTGCTCATTTACAATGTAAGGTTAATTGCGCCTGCTCCTGCGTGTCGGGTGAGAATGAATGAGATGTTATACAGAACACACAGGACGCTGCCGGACATGAGGAAACACTCGATAATCTGTTACGTCTTCCCTCCTTTCCTCCTTCGCCTTCATCTCCTCTTCCCTCCTCCTCTCCACTGTCTAATAGATGCCAGCCAGCAGAGCCAATCACTCCCCTTAAATGCTGTCTTTCAACATCCCACGTCACCTTCCTGTCCACCCCGCTACCACCTCACTCCCACTCAAGTCAGGTCAGTAAGTTCTCCCAAGCTCTGGGCCCTTTTCTGTGACTCTCTGGTCAGCATTTCTTTTGCCTTTTCTGAAGTCTGCTGACCATACAGTCCTGGGCTCTGCCTGCTGTTGCACCAAACTGTTTCTTGGTCATTTCCTATCGGTTCCATTCCTTTCAGGGAAAACCATGCCAGACTCCGCAGAACCATGATTAACAACAGTGCCTGGGACAGATTCTTCCCGCCCCCCCCACTGACAGCATCCACCACACACAGCCAGGCTACGGAACCATTCCAGGAAAACTCACGTTGAGGAGCCAGTGATCACTGTGCTCAGTTCTAGGAAGCTCCTTATCACGAGGAGTTCCTTGAAATACAGGGGAACCAGTCTCACCCCCGGAAATGGTTATCAGCAAGTCCAGCCTCATTGCCCCCAGTTTTCTCCCCAGGTCGTCGGTCCCAGGGCTCCTGTCTCCTCCCACCCAAAAGGACAAGGGCTGGGTGATCTGGTTTGTTTGGGACTGTGATGATTTTAAAGTTGGAAATCCCTCATCAGCCCCCTCACTAAGTCTCAGGCGTGGTAGGATGGCTGGTCACCCCACTGTCCACTCAGATGACAGCTTTATTTTTTGAGAGGGCCAAAAAAAAAGCATTATTAACAACTTCTGAGTAACCTAGAAGGAGGAAAAGGAGGAGAAGGGGATGACAGAAGATGCGATGGTGGGATAGTATCATTGACTCAATGGACATGCGTTAGAGCAAGCTCTGGGAGTTGGTGATGGACAGGGAAGCCTAGTATGCTGCAGTCCATGGGGTCGCAAAGAGTCGGACACAACTGAGCTGAGTAACCTNATTAAAAAGACTCCAGGGTGAACATTTTCCTGGGTTGGGACGGGATTTGTCTTTCAGGGTAATGGATTTTCACTTGGTATAAAATCAATGGATACAGTGAATGTGTATACTTGGTTTAATTATATATATACACACACACACACAATTGAATATTATTAATCTATAAAAAAGATTGAAATCTTGCCATTAGAGACAAAGGAGAGACCTTGAGGGCATTTGAGGACACAAGAGGACAAACACCATAAGATCTCATTCCTACGTGGGATCTAAAAAAGAAAAACTTCACAGATACAGAGAACAGACTGGTGGTTGCCAGAGATGGGGAGGAAGGGAGGTGAAAATGGGTGAAGGAGGTTGAAAGGTGCAAACTCCCATGTATTAAATAAGTCATGGGAATGTAATGAACAGCATGGCAATTATGGTTAATGATACTGTATCGATATTTGAAAGTTGTTAAAAGAGTAGATCTTGAAAGTTCTCGCCACAAGAAAGAAAAAGAATGTTGCAACTCTGTGTGATGATTTATGTTAACTACACTTATTGGGGTGATCACTTCAAAACATACACAAATATCATATCATGATGTTGTACACCTGAAATTATATAATGTATGTCAATTATATCTCAATTTTTAAAAATTTAATAAATAAAGCTAAAAAGTAATTAAATCAACAGATCATTGGAAAAACTGCCCTCCATCACGGACACCCTGGATACCGAGTTAAACCACAGCCCCTGGAAGACTCGTTCGTTCAGCGTTTCAGTCAAAATCTTCCAGACATGCAGGTTTAGCCTCTGAAGTTCCAAGTAATTGAGGATAAGCAGACTGAAATGCAATCAGAGCACACCCACATGAGGATGCTAAGACTCACGTTTCCACCACGTGACATATTACTATGCGTCAACCTCCTATTTCCCTCTAATGGCGCTTGGTTCAGAAAATGGAGGGGACCTTCCCTGGCAGTCCAGTGGTTAAGACTCAGTGCTTCAGCTTCAGGGGGTGTGGGTTCGACCCCTGGCTGAGAGAGGAAGACCCTGCATGCCACTCGATGGGGCCAAAAAATAATAAAAAAATTATTAAAAAAAAAAAGTGCCAGCAGGTCTTGGACCTAGTGAAGTACTTTTAAAAAAAGAAGAAGAAAAGTGAGGGGAGTCTGAGAGACTGGACACCAGCAAAAGGTGCTGTCTCTTCCTCTTAAATTAGTGGATGAAAACCCTGAATTATTTTCAATATTCTTGCTTGAGGGCTTATTTCTTTTCTTTTTTTTCCTTACAAGATGACATACCTTATTTGAATATTGTCAGTAAAGAGTTGAGATTTTTTTAAAACTGCAGTGCAGATATATGTATATTTGCATAGTGGTTTCTTAAGATTAACAATCATAACCACCAGGTGCAGAAAGAGAGGGAAGCCGGTGGAGTATCACCGAGATCTAAGAAATAAAATAATGGAAACCATTTTAAACAGGCAGCACAGTTTAGGGGCAAACCCACCCCAGAATAGCCCATCTCTGGGTGTGACAGACGCTCCAGGCTAAAGGACACCACACAGAGGGGCCAGACACCATCACCCGCTCATCCTTAAATCCTTAACCTGAGCTCAGCAAAGGCCACGATTTCACTTTGATTCTCCGTATGACCCTTTGGGTCAAAAAGAACAGCAAAAACTTGTGTCCCAAGCAGGAAAGTTTTCCAGGTACCCACCAAGTCAGCAGCTGGAAGACACCCTGGCAAACCTGAGTGTCCACCTCCCCTGGGGAATTTGGGGCTGAAGTGTTTGTCACTCAGTCATGTCTGACTCTTTGTGACCCCTTGGTCTGTCCAGGGGATTCTGCAGGCAAGATACCAGAGTGGGTTGGTATTTCCTTCTCCAGGGGATCTTCCCCACCCAGGGATCAAACCCAGGTCTCTTGCACTACAGGCAGATTCTTTACCTTCTGAGTTACCAGGGAAGCCCCTGGGGCTGAAAAGATCAGTGTAATTAGTAAGTGGCACCTTGGAATTCAGCTCCCATCTCTCATTGTAAAGAAGAAGACATATAAGTAGAGGCATCTTCTCAAAATAGTTCATCCAAGACCCTAAGAGATTCGCAGATTCCCAATCTGTCTTTTAGCAATGTCATTACAAACAAAATAGCTATGATGATGTTGATGGTGATGATGGTGGTGTGATAAGACAGTGGTAATGGTGACTGCGATGATGACAGCACCTAACAGAGAGCCTTTATTCTGTGCAAGTCCTAGTTCTAAACTGTCTACTGATATTAACTCAATACATACTGATAACAACTCTATTAGATGCATACACTATTTCTATCTCCATTTGCTGGTGTGAAAACTGAGATACAGAGGTTAGCGTAACCTGTCCAAGGTCACACCGCAGGCCTTGAACCCAAGAGTCATCTACAGTCCATCCTCTTCATCCCATTCTGGCTCATGTCCAAATGGAGAGGCTCTAGCTCCCTGTGTCGGCAAGATCCCCTGGAGAAGGAAATGAAAACCCAGTCCAGTATTCCTGCCTGGAGAATCCCATGGACAGAGGAGACTGGTGGGCTACAGTCCATGGGGTCGTAAAGAGTCGGACACAGCTGAGCAACTAACACTTTCACTGTCTTTCCAGCGCCAGCAGGGCCCCTCCTCAGTATGAATACCTAGGGCCCTGGCTGGGTTATCTGCCTGTTTATCTTACCCCACGGCCTTTCAGTTAGGTGATTTGCAGGAACCCATTAGAAAATATAACATAATTAACAAAGCACATCCAGGGACTTCTCTGGTGGTCCAGTGGTTGACAATCCACCTGTCAATGCAGGGGACATGGGTTCTACCCCAGTCTGGAACAATTCCACATTCCTTGGGGCAACTGAGCCCATGTACCACAACTAGTGAGCCCATGCTCTAGAACCCATGCTCCGCAACAAGAGAAGCCACTGCAATGAGAAGCCCACACACTGCAACTAGAGAGTAGCCTCCACTCTCCAAAACTAAAGAAATCACATAAGCAGCAGTGAAGACCCAGAGCAGCCAAAAATAAATAAATGAAGTAAAAAAAAAAAATCACACCCAGCAAGTGCAACTTTAACATTTTTTCAAGTTCACATGGAGTATTTAATAAAGTAGATCATATGCTGTGCCACAAAACAAGAAATTTTAATTCATTACAAATATATGTAAGGTGTCATATATGTAAAATAGAAATAGATTATTGTATCTTGAGAAAGAGTATCTACAAAAATGTATACCAAGCATCATATTTAATGCTGATCCATTGAAAGCTTTCCTTTAGATATCAGGAACACATCACCACTTTTCATTATCATCACTTCTATTCAATACTGTACTGAACACTGAAGCAGTTAAAACACTGGAGTACCGGGGAAGTCCCTAGCCAAGACTCTCTTGGAGAAAAGGAGCAAGATTGGAGGAATTGCTGTGTAACATATTGAGACTTATTTTAAAGCTATGGTAATGTAAGAGCTGGACCATAAGGAAAACTGAGCACCAAAGAATTGATGCTTTTGAACTATGGTGTTGGAGAAAACTCTTGAGAGTCCTGTGGAATGCACAGAGATCAAATCAGTCAATCCTAAAGGAAATCAGTCCTGAATATTCTTTGGAAGGACTGATGCTGAAGCTGAAGCTCCAATACTCTGGCCACCTGATGTGAAGAACTGACTCATTGGAAAAGACCCTGATGCTGGGAAAAACTGAAGGCAGGAGAAAGGGATGACAGAGGATGAGATGGCTGGATGGCATCACTGACTGGATGGACATGAGTTTGAGCAAGCTCCAGGAGTTGGCAATGGATAGGGAAGCCTAGTGTGCTGCAATCCATGGGGTCATGAAGAGTCAGACACAACTGGGCAACTGAACTGAACTGAGAGTAATAATTGGCATAGGAGTAAACAAATCAGTCAGTGAAACAGAACAGGAAATGCAAAACTAGATTCACACTTATATACGCATTTGACTTATGAAAAAGGTATCACAGAAGAGCAGTTTTCAACAAATGTGCTGGAAATATTTGATATCCTTATGAAAAAATATTAAATTGGATCCCTAATTCATACCACGCTCAAAAATCCACTCACAGTGGGTTCCAAGTCTAAATATAAATTTAAACCATAAATCTCTTAGAAAGAAAAAATAAGAGAATATCTCAACAATGTCAGGGTAAGAAAAGAAAGAGAATTGATATCAAGAAACAAAAATAATTAACTATGAAAATTTTAAATAAATTTCACTACATTAAAATTACAAGCTTATGCTCCTCAAGAGATAACAAAAAGGGAATGAAAAATTAACCACAGAAGGAAAAATTAACCACAGAAGGAAAGATGCTTGCAGCACAAAAGACCATCAAAGACTTGCATCAAGAAAATATAGAGTACTCCTTTGAATCAATAAGAAAAAAATTAGATTACTCAATAGAAAAATTGGCAAAAATAAGAAAAAAAAAACAAGCTTGTGTAGGTGTACCACAAAAGAGGAGATCCAAATGGCTACTACCCATAATAAAAGATGCTTAATTAACCTCATTATTAACCAGGAAATGCAAAACAAAACCACACACACTGCTATCTAACCACTAGAATGGCTCCAAATGCAAAAACACCATCAATATCAAGTGTCTATGAAGATTTGGAGCAAATGGAAGTCTCATACTTTGCTGATGAAAATGGAAAATGATACAACCACTTGGGAAACCAGTGTAGTAGTATCTGCCTGGGCTTCGCAGGTGGCGCTAATGGTAAAGAATTCACTTGCCACTGCAGGAGACATAAGAGACACAGGTTCAATCCCTGGTTTAGGAAGATCCCCTGGAGGAGGAAATGGCAACCCACTCCAGTGTTCTTGCCTGGGAAATCCCATGGACAGAGGAATGTGGCGGGCTACAGTCCAGGGGACCACAAAAAGAGTCAGATATGATTTGGAGACTAAACAACAACAGTATCTACCAAAGCTGAACATATGCATACCAGCAATTCCACTCCTAGATATGTGCCCAACAAAAATGCATATACATGTTTACCAAAAGACGTGTATTTGAATATTAACAGCAGGACTATGTATAAGCACCCAAAATTACAAACAACTCCAGTGCCCATGATTGTGTTATATTTGCAGAATGGAATACTATACAACAATACACATGAACAAACTGTAGCTACACACAGTGTAGATGAATCACAAATATAATGCTCAGTAAAAGAAGCCAGAAACTAAAGAATGTATGCAATATGATTTCATTTGCATACTTCAAAAACAGGCAAAGATAAATGATATGCTTTAGATATGTAGACATAATTGGTACAATTATGAACAAAATGAAATAAATAATTATAAACATCAGAATGGAGTTTACCTTTAGTGGGAACAGAAAGGATGTGATTGGAAAGGCAGATAACAGGGAGTCTTCTGGGCTTCTGGCGAAGTTCTTGATCTTGGTAGTGGTTGCATTTTTGTACCAAAAGCATTTATGTTTCATGCACTTTAAGTTCACAATTTTAACAGAATTTTTAAAAAGTAACAAAAAGTGGCCCAAGGACTAAACACTGAGGCTCTCATATTTAGAATATGTTTATAAACCCTACATCCATTCAACATTCAACATATATTTTCTTTTCTTTTTTTCCACTTATTTTTATTAGTTGGAGGCTAATTACTTTACAACATTGCAGTGTTTTTTGTCATACATTGAAATGAATTAGCCATGGATTTACATGTATTCCCCATCCCGATCCCCCCTCCCACCTCCCTCTCCACCCGATTCCTCTGGGTTCTGAGCACCTACTGTGTGCCAGGCACGTGTTCCAGTGACTGAGAGTACACCAGTGGACAAAACAGACAACCCCCCCTGCTTTCATGGATCTCACATACTACAGAAGCCTGAGAAGAGTATGTCAAGGGGGACAGAGTGACTAACTACGGAACATGTTACTTAGATGTCACGTAAGACGAGGACATAACAAAACTGACTACTTTGATGAGCCACTTGCATGTGTAAGGGCTTCCATGGTGGCTCAGACAGTACAGAACCCACCTGCAATGCAGGTGACTCAGGTTTGATCCCTGGGTCAGGAAGATCCCCTGGAGAAGAAAATGGCAACCCACTCCAGTATTCTTGCCTGGAGAATTCCATGGACAGAGGAGACTGGCAAGCTGCAGTCCATGGGGTTGCAAAGTGTCAGACATGACTGAGTGACTAATACACATTGCATGATTTTGGATACCACCTAAATATGGATGATCTTCATCCAGACCCCTTTTCTGGACTCCTGATCTCTGTGTATTTGCCAGTATAAATCATATGTATCCAAACTGTATACCCCAACCTACCCCTTTAGGGTTCTCCAGCTCAATGAATTGCATCACCATCCATTCATTTGCCCAAATCAGAAACCTAGAAGTTATCTTTAATCCCTCTTTATCCCTTCCCCTCCCCATGACACTTCCAATTTTTCCTCTGCTTTTTTTCACCAGGTCTCAGAATGGAGGAGTCCCTCAGTTCAAAAAGGTGGTATTCGAGGAATTTACTGATGGCTCCTTTACTCAGGCTGTATACCGTGGACAACTGAATGAACACCTGGGACTCTTGGGACCATACATAAGAGCAGAAGTGGAAGACAATATCATGGTAAGTTGAGGACAATGGAATTACAATAAAAATGATCCATATATGTTTTTTCAAATTTCTGATTATAAAAATAGTTTTCACACCTTCTAAAAGGTTTAAAGTATAGAAGATAAGAAAATTGAAAAATAACCCCGTAATTATCATTTTTCTGTATGTCCTTATGTTTCTCCTATGTATTCTCTTTATGTATTAAAAATTATACAATTCATCATTCTACTTCTTTTTAAAATAAATGTCATAAACATTTCCTATGTTATTAAAACACTACATATGTTTTTCAGGTGAAAGAATATTAGCTCATTATATGATTTTATGGTTTATTTAAATGTTTTTCTTTGAACAACCTTTTAGATAGTTTCTTTTTTTTTTCACTGTTTAATTAATGATGTTATCACAACTCTTCCCAGGATAAAATTCCAGAAGTGAAATGTACAGGAACATTTTTAAGACTTTCTCTAACAAATTATCTGTTAATGTTCTTTGCATAGTTGAAATTTTTGGAGTGAATGCTTTTCTTGTTAATTTGTATTACCATATATATTATAGATCATTGATATATTAATGATCATTGGTCATTTTAGTGAATAGTATTTTTCCAAGTTTATTTTCTTTTAATTTTATATATATTATGTCTGACCCCATGGACTGCAGCCTGCCAGGCTCCTCTGTCCATGGGATTCTCCAGGCAAGAATACTGGGATGGGTTGCCATGCCCTCCTCTAGGGGATCTTCCTAACCAAAGGATCAAACCCATGTCTCCCACATTGCAGGCAGATTCTTTACTGTCTGAGCCACCAGGGAAGCCCAATTTTATATACAGTGATTTTTAAAATATTTTTGGAGTTTTAGGTAGTAACCCATAAATCTTTCCTTTATGACATTTTGATAGCTTTTATGTTTATAAAAATCCTTCCCTATACAGAGATTTATTTTCTTAAAATCACCTGTACTTTCTTCAACTTTCTTTTACAGTTTAATTTCTTAACATTTAACTTTTTAATCCAACAATAATTCCTGTAGACTAGAATTTGCTTTGGCGCACTGTATAAGCCAAAGATCAAGGTAGTTTTATTTTTTTCTAGAAACAGTCATCCATTGCCCCAACTGGTTGTTTATAGGAAGGATATAGAAGGATCTAAAATTATAGGATTGTGAGTGAATTTTTTCTGGTTTGAATTTTATTTTACTTTCCATATGTCCAATGAAAATGTATAACTTTTTAATTTGAAAAAAAAGTCTTGTATACAGAGCATATGTAATACATATATAATACAAATACATATGTAATACATATGCAGTACAAATCCTGGAATTTGTCATGAAGAACTTTAAGAGCATCAGTTCCTGGGGTTATGGTCCCTTAAAACCCCTATGGTCATATTTTCTCTTTTACTTTAGAATTTCTTTTAAGGATTTAGCAGTTTTCTCCTTTTTAACTGTGAGTTCATGTCTTAAAGACTGTGGAAATGAAAGATGTCTCAGTTTCTTTCATAGATATTTAGATTTGGGTTCTAGTAACATACCGATTCCTCCAAGCATTGAAAACCTGGATAACACCCCCTAAATAGGCATTTCTATTCATGAAGTCATGTTGTGAAGTTGGTCAGTTGTGTCCAACTCTTTGTAACTCCATGGACTGTCACCTATCAGGCTCCTCAGGTGACAGTCCATGTAGGCGACAGTCCATGGAGTTTTTCAGGCAAGAGTAGTAGAGTGGGTTGCCATTTCCTTCTCCAGGTGATCTTCCCAACCCAGGGATCAAACCTGGGTCCACTGAATTGCAGGCAGACGCTTTACCATCTGAGCCACAGGGAAGTAGGCATTGCTATTAGGGATCTAAAAACTTTACAAGATCCTAAAACATAATACTTGCCTTTTTTTCTCTTGCTCTGCAGGTAACTTTCAAAAACCAGGCCTCTCGTCCCTACTCCTTCTATTCTAGCCTTATTTCTTATAATGGAGATCAGAGACAAGGAACAGAACCTCGAAAAAAATTTGTCAAGCCTAATGAAACCCAAAGCTACTTTTGGAAAGTGCAGCACCACATGGCACCCACCAAAGATGAGTTTGACTGCAAAGCCTGGGCTTACTTTTCTGATGTTGATCTGGTAAGCAGGGCTCCTTTGTGCTGGCCCTTTCCTGCTTTGAAAGAAAGGGTCTCAGAACTTCCCTGGCAGTCTCCTGGTTAAGATTCTGTGCCTCCACTGCAGGGGACACAGTTTCAATCCCTGGTCAGGAACTGAGATCCCACATGCCCTGAGGTGCAGCCAAAAAGTAGTGTTAAAAAAAAAAAGAACAGGTCTTCGTGTCAGCTGCTAAGAAGTGTGGTATTTATCCCCAGCATAATGGGAAGTTTTCAATAGGGGAGGTGTCAGCATATTTATGTTTTAGACATATCACCCAGGAATCCACTAAAGAGGAAGAACTGTCCTGTGGGAAGCTGCGGAATGGGGTGGGGGTCATAAAAGCTGATGAGAAATCCCCTCTGGTTCCTAAGCGAGAGAACGTTCATGCCTAGAACTAGTGTCTTTCCTTTCAGGAAAAAGATGTGCACTCAGGCTTGATTGGCCCCATTCTGATCTGCCGTGCGGACACACTAAGTGCTGCTCATGGGAGACAAGTGACAGTACAGGAATTTGCTCTGTTCTTCACCATTTTTGATGAAACCAAGAGCTGGTACTTTGCTGAAAACATGGCAAGGAACTGCGGGGCGCCCTGCCATGTCCAGCCAGATGACCCTACTTTTCAAGAAAAGTATCGCTTCCATGGTAATACAGTCCACACCCAAGTCTCATTTGCCGTGAAGTGAGCCTGGAGCCTGAGGCTGGGATGTTGTACAATTTGAGAGTATACGGATGAGAGTGCAATCTTCTTAGGAATCCATCCTCTTGGCTGGAATGGAGGGAAAGACCCTCCAATAGGCGTTAACAGCTTTCTCTGTGTTCTTTCTCCAGCAATCAATGGCTACGTGATGGATACACTCCCTGGCTTAGTCATGGCTCAGCATCAAAGGATTAGGTGGTATCTGCTCAGCATGGGCAGCAATGAAAATATCCACTCCATTCATTTCAGTGGCCATGTGTTCACTGTGAGAAAAACAGAGGAGTATAAAATGGCAGTCTACAATCTCTACCCAGGTACAAACCAGTTTGTGCTCTGTCTTCAACTTCCAGTGCTTGCTGAGGAGCTCCTTTCAAGGTCTAGGTCCTGGGGATATGTCCCTTTAACAAAGCAGAGAGATCATAAAGAACTTAGCAAACAAACATGATCATTTCAAATACAGATAATATGCTGTAAAGGAAACAGAGCAGAATCAATGGACAATGGATGTCCCAGCACTTTCCTAGGAAAAGAGGATTTTTCTCCCAACTCAAATCCCACAGAGCACCAATAGTGATTGGTTCCAATCACTAATTGGAATCACCAATTAGTGATTCCCAAAGAGTAATTGGTTTATGTATGAAAACCATATTCTGATTAAACACTGCTCCCACTGTTGATCAAAACAGAATATCATCTTAGTTCTCGAATGTTCCTTTAAAACAGGTTCTGAACTTCCCTGGTGATCCAGTGGCTAGGTCTCGGTGCTTCTACTCCAGGGTGCACAGTTTCGATCAGGGAACTAATATCCCATATACCTCACAGTGCATGCAAAAAAGAAGGAAAAAAAAAACAGGTTTAATAGTGGAAGTAAACTTATGTTTCTGTGTAAAAATTCTGATAAGCTCAGTGACTTCTCTTGCTGACTCTTAAGTAGAAACAGACCTGCAGTCACTTCACATCACAAAGAAAATTCAAGTCAGACATCATAACATCCACTTCAACACATTAATAAAAAAAAATTTTCCCCCTTTTTCTTGGCTGTGCCGCATGCCATGCTGGATCTTAGTTCCCTGACCAGACATGGAACATCTGCCCCATGAAATGGAAGCATGGATTCGTAACCAGTGGACTGCTGCGGAAATTCCATTCTTCATCAAAATTCTGAATTTCCTTTTATAAGGTTTTATTCTAGATTTTCAGCAAGAGGCACCTCCTTCTGGATTTCATGACAAGTGCTCTGCTTTGGCATTCAGTGGGCCCTTTCACTCTGAAATCATGCATTTCATTCTTAAGCTTTAGAGGATTTTTCTCCTTATCATTTCTCTGATTCCCACCCCCCACCTTTGTTTTCTTTCCTTGCAGAACTTTCATTAGAAAAGTCTTGGACTTCTTCAACTTCTATGACTCAGTTTCCCTCATTTCCTACTGTTTGCTTGCCTTTTTGCATTATGTCCTTAGGTTTCTCTTCCAGATCACTAATTTGGCCTTTAGCTTCGGAACTTGATTTTAACTTCAGTATCTGCTTCTGATGCTTATTATGCTTCCCCCTCCACCCCTGGCTGGTTGTGACTTTGAACTGTAGCATGCAGTGGGGAGAGGTAAGGGATAGCACCATTGTCTGCACCTGGCAGATATTTAAAGTGAAAGTGAAAAGCCAAAGTGCAAGTTGCTCAGTCATGTCCGACTTTGCGACCCCATGGACTATATATAGTACACGGGATTCTCCAGGCCAGAATACTGGAGTGGGTAGCCTTTCCCTTCTCCAGGAGATCTTCCCAACCTGGGGATTGAACCCAGCTCTCCTGCATTGCAGGCGGATTCTTTTCCAGCTGAGCCACCAGGAAAGCCCAAAAAGACTGGAGTGAGTAGCCTAACCCTTCTCCAGCGGATCTTCCCAACCCAGGAATCAAACTGGAGTCTCCTGCATTGCAGGCGAATTCTTTACCAACTGAGCTCTCAGGGAAGCCTGGCAGATATTTAAAGAGGACTCTTTTCTGGTGGGGTACTTACAGGGCCTCTGCAGAAACTCCCTTGGAGGACCCTCTTACATGAAATCCTCTTGTTTGGTTCCACCTTTATTCTGGATTGTCACTTGTCACTCAGCCCTCAGCCCCTCAGCATTCAACTCCAGCTTCTTGCTCCTGGGGTTACTTTACTCATCAAGGCAGGGAGCCCACATCATGTCGAAGAGAAATCCACCTCTGGCTCTGCCAAGCCTTGAGAGTGCAGGCCAGTCCTAACATAGTAGCTTTCTCCCACCTCCACCCCCGAAGCATCTGGGTACCCTTTCTCTCCTGTTCCCCAGGGTCAGAACTTCACATCCAGTGTCTCCAGCCGCAGGGGTTACATCACAGGCACTTTGGGTCAAAGAGTGGTGCAACTGACTTGGCTAGATCTCCTCTGATGTTCTGCATAAGCTGATGTATCTTATGCCCATTTTGGTGAAAAGAAGTCACTTTTCTGCCTTCTGGTTTTGCTAAGGTGTCTTTGAGACGGTGGAAATGCTACCATCCAAGGTTGGGACATGGCGGATAGAATGTCTTATTGGCGAGCACCTACAAGCTGGGATGAGCACTCTCTTCCTGGTGTACAGCAAGGGTGAGTGGCACTGGGCACTTGACCACTTTCCACCTCCCTCGAAGGGTAGCCTTTGCCAAGAACTACATACAAGCTCACAGTCATTACCAAATCTAAAATGAATATTGCGGGCAGAAATCAGAGTCCTCAGAGGAGGGCAGATCTGCTTGATGCTTTGAACGCTTTAACACTGAAGTCCCAAGAGCTCCAGGAGCAAATTTTGAAGCTTAATTTTGGTCCTGTTACAAAGTGTAACTCTCAAATATCATCTGGAAGAAGTTGAGTTTTAATCCTCAACATGAAGAGAACCACTGGTCTACTTATGTATGAACCCTAGTTTTCAGTTCAGTTTAGTCGCTCAGTCGTGTCTGACTCTTTGTGACCCCATGGACCGAAGCACGCCAGGCCTCCCTGTCCATCACCAACTCCCGGAGTTTACTCAAACTCATGTCCATCGAGTCGGTGATGCCATCCAGCCATCTCATCCTCTGTCATCCCCTTCTCCTCCCACCTTCAATCTTTCCCAGCATCAGGGTCTTTTTCAATGAGTCAGTTCTTTGCCTCAAGTGGCCAAAGGATTGAACTTTCAGCTTCAACATCAGTCCTTCCAATGAACACCCAGGACTGATCTCCTTTAGGATGGACTGGTTGGATCTCCTTGCAGTCCAAGGGACTCTCAAGAGTCTTCTCCAACACCACAATTCAAAAGCATCAATTCTTCAGCGTTCAGCTTTCTTTATAGTCTAACTCTCACATCCATACATGACCACTGGAAAATCCATAGCCTTGACTAGACAGACCTTTGTTGGCAAAGTAATGCCTTTGCTTTACTCAGTTGCAAAATCTGAGTAGGTCTAGTGCCTTCCTGTTGGAACTAATTAAATGAGATAGTACAATAAAAATCTTGCATCCAGTTCTCGCCATGTACTAAACACTAAAAAATATGAGCATTTCTTGGTGTTCTCATTGACCTGCATTTGTGAAGCTCTATTTCTGCACTTCTAATGATTGTGCTCCCCTGGTTTGATTTCAGAGTGTCAAATTCCACTGGGAATGGCTTCTGGACGCATTAGAGATTTTCAGATTACAGCTTCAGGACAATATGGTAAACAGTACTCCTTTCTCTCAAAGCACTGAGCTGATTATGTTTTTTTATTTCTGTTGGAAAGATTCAGATAAACAATCCATCTTCATGCTTCTATAAATTCTACTCCATAGGTGCCTCTCAATCTATTTTCTCTTCTCACCCAAGTAATGCCTCTGCCTCTTTAAATGTCCTGCCTGCCTTCCACATGGCTTCCCTTGAATCCATTCTCCTCACTGTAGCAAGAAGCTGCATTTTCCTCAAACTGTAGCCCACAGGTCACATTCAGTCCATCACCTGATTATGTATGGCCTTCAAGCTAAGAATTTGTTTTCTATTCTTAAATGATTAGGGAAAAAACAAAAGAAGAATATTTCATGACATGTGAAAATTATATGAAATTCTAATTCAAGGGTTCATAAAGAAGCCACATTTGTTCATTTACAATTATCTGTGGGCACTTTCACTGTGTGTGTGTGTGTGTGTGTGTGTGTGTGTGTGTGTTAGTTGCTCAGTCATGTCCAACTTTCTGCAGCCCCATGGACTGTAGCCTGCCAGGCTCCTCTGTCTATGGGATTCTTCAGGCAAGAATACTGGAGTGGATTGCCATTCCCTTCTCCAGAGGATCTTCCCCACCCAGGGATTGAACCCTGGTCTCCTGCATTGCAGGCAGATTCTGTACCATTTGAGCTACAGGGAAGTCTCTGTAGCTTTCACTCTATAACAGCATTTAAATGTCACAACACCAGATGATAAAGGCTAAATTATTTACAGAAAAAAAGTTTGCCAAACTCCATTTTAGAGGGGTAAAAAACATTTGAAAAAGATGTTTGAGAGTTATATACCAAAATAGTACTATTTTTCTCTGGGTGGATGATGTTTTATACTTCTTTTATTTTTTTAACTTATGTTTTCTTTTTATTTCTAATTTTTCTCCAGTAAACATAGATTATGTAATAGAGAAATAATATTAAATGATGGTACTGGTGACACATTAATATTATCTATCTACAGGTACAAACAATCAACAAACTTACTAAAGTTTAGAAAATAAAATAGACAAGGACAAGCCAAACACTTCAGTAGTCATTGATACTACTCTGCTTTATACGTTTGTCTTCACAGCTAGGATTAACCTTTCTCAAGAGAGTAATTTTATCCCTACGTGTTCAGGACCAACCCAGCTGAATCTAATCTCTCTTCCCTTTCTCGAGCAAAGGACAGTGGGCCCCAAAGCTGGCCAGACTTCATTATTCTGGATCAATCAACGCCTGGAGCACCAAGGATCCCTCTCCTTGGATCAAGGTTAGAAAATGCATTGCATTCCATCACATCACACATTCCTTTGGCAAGCTCAATGCCTTTTATACCTCTTTTCTGCCTAAGTCATTTTCATCAAATCCCAAGTAATAGATGAGGAAAGAACTGAAGAACAGAGTGGCTTATGATTTGTACCAAAAGAGTCAGGACTGAAAGACTCAGGAATAGAACTGAGTGCACTGTGTTTTGTTTTTTAATTATTTTTGCTGCACTGGGTCTTCACTGTGCAGTTTTTTCTCTAATTGTGGCAAGCAGGAGCTGCTCTCTAGTTGTGTGCAAGCTTCTTACTGTGGTGGCTTCTCTTGTGGCAGAGCACCAACTTCAGTAGCTTTGGTTCCCAGGCTCTAAAGCACAAGTCTCAGGAGTTATGGCTCATGGGCTTAGCTGTCCTGAGGCACGTGGGATCTTCCAGGACCAGAGATCAAACACATGTCCCTGCACTGGCAGGCAGACTCTACCACTGGGCCAGCAGGGAAATCCTACACTGTGTTTTTAATCTTTCTACTGGGATTAGAATCTCTGAATATTTTTCTATAACATCGAATTTACCACCTCCAAAGACCGCATATTCTCTTTTTAGATGTCTTCAATTGCCTAGGTATCCTTGAGTCCTCTAATTCCTTCATGTTAACACAAAAACAAATGGCTCAATCCCCGGTCCCACAAGGCAAGAAAATGTGGCTTCTTCCTTTTCTAAAACCAAAGCTGTCTCCTTCACAAATTCTACACCACAGAGTAGTAAGAAACACCTGATAAAGTTAGGCCAAATCTGGTCAACCAACTTGGAGTCATTACTGAAAGTGTCCTTAGGTTAACTGAATTTTTTTTTCAGTGACTCAGTCTTTCATTTTTTTTTCCTTCCCCATGTCCTCTGGAGCAGCATTGGCCAACAGAAATATCATGTGAACCACAAATGCAAAGCACGTGTGTAATTTTCCATTTTCTAATAGCTGCATTAAAAAAGGAACATGTTAAATTCATTTTAATAATACATCTTCTCGGGAATTCCCTGGTGATCCAATAGTTAGGACTGAGTGCTTTCACTGCCAAGGGCCTGAGTTCACTCCCTGGTCAGTGAATTAAAATCCTGCAGGCCATGTGGCTCTGCCAAAAAAAAAAAAATCATAATTTTCTTTAATCCAACATATCCAAAAATGTTATGTCAACATGTAAGCAGTCAGGACTAATGTTCAAACACACTGCCTTCCTTTCACACCCTTCTCCTTCTCTGTGTAAGTTCCATGAGGGAAGGGCTTTTTTTATTGTTCATGACTCTGTTGCTAGTACCCAGAACAGTGCTTGTGCTCAGTCACTCAGTCGTATCTGACCCTTTGTGACCCTATGGACTGTAGCCCAACAGTCTCCTCTGTCCACGGAATTCTCCAGGCAAGAATACTGGAGTGGGTTGCCATTTCCTTCTCCTAGAAGAGTGCTTGGCATATAACAAATGCTAAAAATATATTCTTTGATGAATGAATGAATGAATGAATGATGTATAGATAGAGCTTAGAGTCAACTGAGAAAGATTGTCATTAAGTACAAGAGTCCAGACCAGTCTTAGCTGAGTGTGCCAGGCATCTGGGAGAAATTAGGGTACCAACTGATGTTAAAATTCCTGTAATGCTTGTGAGACCCACGCCCCCTTCTTTCAGACCCAACCACTCCTTACTACTAAGGATCGATATTCCATCAGATCCCATGTTAGGTGCCAGGGCTAGAGAGACTGTAAAACCTAACATATTACATGTTTAGTATGCGCCAGCAGTGAACTCAGCACATTACATGTATTAACTCTGTAATCCTTCTGATAACATTTTGAGATAAATACCATTATTACCTTCACTGTACAGAACAAGAAATTGAGACACAAAGAGGTTAGGTGATTCAGACAGGCTTATTGCCTTCAGGATCTCAGTCTAATGAGGAAGGCAAAAAGCAAAGAAAAGTTTACAGTGCGGTGCAATAATTTACTATAATGAACTTATATACAAAGTGGACTGGAAGCAGAAAAGAAGCCACCCAAAAGTTCTCTGCATGAGTTAGGAAAGGGTAACCAGGAGAAAGAGTTTCTGCACTAACACTTGCAGGAGGGACAGTAATTTAGCACTGATAGTGATGGTGGGAGGCGGGTAGTCTGGGGACAGAGAAGGCAAGTGGCTTTGTCCAGCCAGAAGCTGGTGTGTCAGGGAGACACCTGCTACGGGGTCCAGGTGTGCAGCACTAAGGATGTGTGTAGAGAAAAGTGGGGCTCAGTGATTCCAAAGTGATTTCCTTTGTCAGGATATGACCTGAGGACTCAGTGAACACATTTCCTGTCGTTGATTCCACAGCTTCCCACACATCTACATTTCCACACTGGTCTCTGTTGCATTTGCACCTCCAAGGGAATACTGGGCTTCTATCGAGGTAGATTCTTCTTAAGCAGAGAAATCATTTCAGAATACAGCACATACCTCTATGTAAAATCAAGTGTTGCTTTCATTGATAGGTGGATCTGTTGGTGCCGATGATTATTCACAGCATCCTGACTCAGGGTGCCCGGCAGAAGTTCTCCAGCCTGTACATCTCTCAGTTTATCATCATGTACAGCCTCGATGGACAGCGGTGGCAGGGTTATCGGGGGAACTCCACTGGGACCTTAATGGTATGTAAATAGTCCTTTTCAAGAGAATGCTTGAATCTTTTGAGGAGCTTTTGACAGATTTCAGCAATCTGAAATGGAACAAACACTCACAGTTTCTAGAAACTTCAGTCACTCAGTCGTGTCTGACTCTTTGCGACCCCATGAACCACAGCACATCAGGCCTCCCTGTCCATCACCAACTCCCAGAGTTTACCTAAACTCATGTCCATTGAGTCATTGATGCCATCCAACCATCTCATCCTCTGTTGTCCCCTTCTCATCCCACCTTCAATCTTTCTCAGCATCAGGGTCTTTTCAAATGAGTCAGCTCTTCATGTCAGGTGGCCAAAGTATTGGAGTTTCAGCTTCAACATCTTAGCCCCCCCAGAAAACATTTTCCACTCATGGGCAATAGAGTGATGATGGACCTATGGACAAAAAGGTAGCATGAAGGATCTCTTATGTAGCCCTAGGAAACACACTCCAAATGGAATTCTAAGACTATGTTGCTAATATATTCAAGGAAGACAGGTATAATTCCTTACTTGGGGAGAAGATTGAATGTTGAGTAACCCATGACATGTGGTGGCATCACAATTTCTCAGATTGTCATCAGTGATACAATAGGATGAATTTCAGGTAAGGAAGGAAGACATTGGGAAGTTAGTAGCAATTTGGTTGCTATGGCAACCAGTTTAGCATCATCTGACAGTAGAGTGACCTGTCTTTTCATTTCTGGGCTTCCCAGGTGGCTCAGTGGTAAAGAACCTGCCTGCAATGCAGGAGACGCAGGAAACTTGGGTTCAATCCCTGGGTGGGAAGATCCCCTGGAGAAGAAAATGGCAACCCACTCCAGTATTCTTGCCTGGGAAATCCCATGGACAGAGGAGCCTGACGGGCTCCAGTTCACAGGGTTGCAGAGTTGGACACAACTGAGTATGCATCTTCTTTTTCAGCATACATAGGAGAAAAAGAAATTAAATGTTATGAATATATACAAAGAACATCCATGAGCATATATATATATATATATATATATATATGTATATATATATATATATAATCTTGATGGAATCATGGAGTTCTGGAGGAGTCTTCCATGTCCTGGGGTTATAGGCAGATACTTGGACTTTATACCAAACCTAGAAGCAGAGCATGTGAATTGCAGAGTTACAGTCACAATTAAATGGTCAGCCCCGATATGGTTGTTATGCTAAGGTAACGGCACTGGTGGAAATGGGTGGAACTCTGAGACCTGGGGTGGGTACATTTAGGCAGACATGCATGAGGCTGTGAACCACAAACCTCTAAATTGCCCTAAACCTTATCTGCTGAAGGAGGCGACCTTTCCCCAGTCTCTGAAGCAGTCATCCCTGCTGTGCACACAGGTCTTTCAGTTGCTCCACCTGGAATAGTTGCCTTCCAACCTAGTGGCTAGTCTCCTTAGGCCACTAAGTGTTTGGTCACTAACAAAAGCCAGATGAGTCACGGAAAAATGACAGATCATCACAAATTTAGTCAGGTGGTGATAAAAAAAAATCACAACTCTTAAGTGTGGTATCTCCTCTGGAGTAAATTAACACAGCACTAGGTACCTGATATGGAACCACAGACCTGGGAGGATGCTTTCTTCTTCATTCACACTGACAACCAAAGTCAGAATAGATTTGCATTTACGAAGTGGGAACAAGAGTATGAACTTTATGGTTGATGCCTCAAAGTGATGCCAGTTCCTTTGTTCCTTATCATAATATAGACCCTGAAAGTGAAGTGAAAGTGAAAGTCACTCAGTTGTGTCCGACTCTTTGCAACCCCATGGTCGCATGAAATTCTCTAGGCCAGAATACTGGAGTGGATAGCCTTTCCCTTCTCCAGGGGATCTTCCCAACCCAGGGATCGAACCCAGGTCTCTTGCATTGCAGGCAGATTCTTTACCAGTTGAGCCACAAGGGAAGCCCAATATAGACCCTAGGGACCCCAAATATCTTGACATCCCACAGAACATCATACTGCTCCATTACATGGAAGACATTATGCTGACTTCCGTGTCAGACTCTTGTGACCCCATGGACTATAGCCCACCAGGTTCCTCTGTCCATGGGATTCTCCAGGTAAGAATATTGGAGTGGGTTGCCATTTCCTTCTCCAGGGGATTGTGCTAACAGGCCCTGGTAAACAGAAAATAATAATCACTCTAAATGTTTTTGTGATTAATATATGTATAATCAGAGATATATACACAGACACATAAATATGTATATATTGTGTTGTCAACTAAAAGAAAAATGCACAATGTGAGAGTTGTGAGTCAAATTTTATTCAGGGTCTTACTGAGGACTATAGTCTTGGAGACAAGTCTCTCAGATAGCTCGGAGCTGCTCTGAAGAGGTGAGGGGAAGCTAGGTTACATGTTTTGCTGTTAAGGCATACATGTAGTCAGACATACATCTTGGTGAAATATTACTGCTACTCACAAAGAACAGATGTTTCAAGTTCATGGTTATACTGTTTTTCTGTGTATGGGAAGATGCAAAAAGCAGGATTCATTACAATTCTTCTTGAAATGCATATTAACTACTTAGGACCTGTCTGTCCAAAGCACAGAGCATCCTGTTATCATCTTGAATTTCCTGAAACACACAGTGTTTAAATTCTGAAACACACAAATGCCTCATCCTGTTATCCTGTTAATCTTTTCCTCTGAACACTCAGTACCCTGTCTATCACCAGCTGCAGCAGATCAGTCTTTGTAGACTTGGGTGGTGAGCAAAATGCTCTCTGTTCTTTTGTCTGCAGTTTGATAGATATGTATAGATACAGATATATTATCTTTATTATAAATGAATGTTTCTTGCTTCTGACTTTAATGGGAATGGATCCCATATTTCACTGTTTAATATAATGTTGTTAGTTTCAAATATTTTTTATCACATTTAAAAACTTTCTTGCTTTTACTTTATTTGGAAAGGCTGTAGAATCTCATCACATGATTTTTCAGCACCTTGAATATGATCACATTTATTCTATTTGCTGTAAATTATACTCACATTCAATGGTGGGCTGGTGAACGTTTAACAACCAGCTCTGGGGCAAAGTGGAGGACAGTCAGGGGAAGGAGCTTTATTTGTAACATTTGCTGATTTCCATGATGTAAATATTTCCCATCGCACCTGATTTCAAGCTGCTGATGCAAGGTCACTGAATGCAAACTTGGGAGCAGACAGCCACAATTGCTTCTCACAAGCTAGTCCTAGCTGGCTCCAGCACAACTCAGTGCTGCATTCCTGGGAAAACTGCCCTTAGTCATAGTATATTAGTCACTGAATGTTTAGTTGGATCGAAAAAACTGAAATATCTCCATCTCCTCTACCGAACAAGTTTCTGGACTGGTGGTCTAGTCTAATGGCAGTAGAGATAGATGCCTTTTCAGTTCACACTAACCAGAACTCTACCATCCCAGAGCATGCCTGATTAATTTACACATTTCAGTCTTAGTCATCTTCCTCCAGTATAATGGTTCTCAAATGTTTAAAAATCTTTGTACCATCCACATGTTCAGTCCCTCAGTCATTTGCAGCCCCATGGACTGTAGCCTGCCAGGCTCCTCTGTCCATTTTATTATCCAGGCAAGAATACTGGAGTGGGTATCTATTTCCTTCTCCAGGGGATCTTCCCCACCCAGGGATCAAACCCGAGTCTCCTGCATCTCCTGCGTTGGCAGGCAGATTCTTTACCACTGTGCCACCTGGAAATCCCAGGAAACCAGGTGGAAACCACCTGGGCAACCACTCACATACAAAAAAAAATATTTTTTCTTAAGCAATGTCTCATCACAGAAGTCCCTCATAAAGGGAGTAAAAGAACCCAACACCTTTTAAAGATCATTGCTTCACTGGCCACTATTTTTAATATTTCATAATATTTTGAATGTGAATTTTGAACTGTCAATGAAAGTGTCAATGATGCAGATCTTTTCCTCTGGTTTTCAAGTTTAAAAGAACAATAATCCTGTCCTTTTAAAATATTTATCTTTGGTTGTGTTAGAAATCAGTGTTAATGTTGACATCAGGTAATGATATACAGCAAGAGAATTCTGTCAAAATCACTGAATATGGCCTTAGCCCAGCTCTCTGTGCTACAAAGTGTCTGAGGAAGATACATAAATGAACCAATGGCAAACAGAAAACAGTCTTTAGTGTTTTCTAAAGTTAGGCTTGAATATGCAATACCAGGCTCTGTGGTAATTCCTCACCTCACTCCCTCAAAGCAAGCTTTTAAGGGCTTCGCCAGTGGCTCAGTATTAAAGATCTGTCTGCCAATGCAGGAGATGCAGGTTTCATCCCTGGTTTGAGAAAATTCCCTGTAGAAGGCAATGGCTACCCACTCCAGTATTCTTGCCTGGGAAATCCTATGGACAGAGGAGCCTGGTGGGCTAAAGTCCATGGGGCTACAGTCCATGGGGTCACAAAGAGTCAGACATGACTTAGTGACTAAACAACAACAACAAAGGAGGTTTTCCCTTGTGCCCAAATCCAAATGCTCTCACCAGGCACACTCCATAATTCATTCCTGAGCATTCTTGTCGTAAGGACGATAAGGGAGGCAGCCAGGGCTGAGTGTCCCAGAAAAAGCAAATGCACAAGGGAGCATGCACCCTCACCACCTTGGCAATAAGTTGGACTGGGCTTTCAGGGCTTGGAAGGGCCCTGCCTGGCAGCCATGTCAGAGCACAGGAGAGGTGCCTGCATCTGTCTCCAATGGACTCCCCTATACTTGCTTAGCCACTGCTTCCACACTGCTGAAATAGAGGTACAAAAAATACCATAAAGTCCGACCCATTTGGGGGCTTATCTCATACAACACTCCACATATTCCCCCTCCCCACCAAATATGCAAAAGCAAGATAGATTCTCAAACTGAGTGCTTAAATCTCACCCCAAAAGATTAGGGCTGTCTACAACCTCAGCCTCAAGGATGCATTTTCCCAAACTGAATGGCTGAGAATGAGAATATATTCTGAAGAGCTCTTGTCATCACACTCAACACTAAAGAAAATTTGAGAAAACAGTTTTGCATGTATCATTTGGACCAGAAATCTATAGTGTTTAAAAATGGAACACCACCCTGCTTTTGGGGACCAAGGGCACAGTCTGGCATATAAGTGATCACGCTAGACCAAAGAAGCATGCTGATTTTATATATCTGAGTTAAAGGAAGATTTGTAGAAGGGTCCATACTACAAGTAAAACCTGCCCGTGTGGATTACCCGGACCTCTCGGAACAACCTCAACTTAAAACTCCAGTGCACATCTGACATCTTTGCGCTGGAGCTCACCCCACCCTCACTCCTACTCCCAGGATCACCCCGTTTGCACCGAAAACATACACTTTGCAGCTAAGGACCACTTTGCAAATGATCTCTGTAGATTCATAGGCACAGTGTCCATTTCAAGTGAATGAATCCACCTCGGATCTAAAAGGAAACTATCTAAAAGGGAACTGTTTGTGCTATTCCCATTTTACAGAGGAGATCAATCTAAACCACAAGTCAGGAGTGTCAGAAAGGTTTTATCATAGATTGAGGGTTGTAGTGACAACAGCGGAGGACTGAATACAACGAATTCCACGATTCCAACGAATACTACCTGAGGCGCATGAAACAAAGGAGGAGCTGGGCGATCACGCAGGCAGACATCGGAATATGCTAAGGAATCAGAGTCACCATGAAAAAATCAGGAAGCAAGAGTTCCAAGCCAGAGCTATGCAAATAAATCCTGTGTGAAACAAGGATGTGGGGAAAGGGGAGCCTTCGGGGGGTGGGGGGAAGCGGGGTGAGGGAACAATTGGGTGAAAGGGACCCAAGGGATTCTCAAGTTTATGCTGAAATTCCTGGTGACGTGAGCTGTGTCCTCCGATTCTATTATATGGGTTTTTTTTCTGCCACTGTTATGGAAACAAGGTGACTTTAGTCAACTACATTCCGGGCCGAGATCAAGGTCTATCATGCTCCCGCAAACGCGCAGGCCAGTGCATGAGTTTCGGGAACAGGCACATCGTGGCTGGGGTCCCGTCAGGGATTCATCATATCCCCTGGCCCGATGGCGAGACGGTTTCCTGCAGAACGAGGTGCAGGAGGTGGTTTTGCTCGGCGCTCAGCAGGGGCCACATCTCCACCTGTAGCAACTTGACGGCCTCCGTGTCCTTCTCGTGCATGGCCATGACCAAGGACTGCAGCAGCAGGAACAGCTCCTCGGGCAGCGGGCCGCTGCTGTCCTGCCCGTGGCCGTCGAAGGCCTCCCAGGCATACTTCTCCAGGGTGTGCGCGTGCTCCGGCAGGAGCTTGGCGGGCGGCGGCTGCAGGAGCAGCAGAAGCAGCACGCGGGACACCTCGCAGCGGACCAGCACGTCGGCGAAGGCACCCAGCGCGGCCGGGGCGGCGGTAGCCGGCGGCCCAGCGCCGGGAGGGAGCGGTCCGCCAGCTGGCACCAGGCTGCGTACGGCAGACACTCCTGGGCGCGCAGCTCGCGGCCGAGCTGGGCGAACTGCTCGCCGGCCTCCGCCACGTTCGGCTTCCGCAGGAACCGCTTCTTGAGCTTGTTGGACACCTGACGATAGCGGGCCAGGAAATCTCCCGGTTCGGGCCCCGGGCCCGCGCCGCCGCCACCCAGGCCGGCCGCGGAAGCCGCCATCTTCGCCGCCTCGGCGCTTCCACGCGCGCTGACGCAACCGGGCGGCTACCGGCGACGTGACCTGCGTCCGACTCGAGCCCACTGCGCGACGGCGCCGGCGCGGCAGCCCGGACGCTCCTGTCGCCGGGGTGATATGCAAAAGAGCGGGCGCGGAGGTTGAGCCGTGATTGGCTGCCGGCGCCGTATGCAAATAGAGGGTCCTGGCGGAGTGATGGCCGTTGCTAGGTGACAGCTTGCTCCCATAGGTTGCCAAGCAGGGCATCTCCAGGCATCTCTAAAGGCACACGACCAAAAAGTCACCTGGTGACCCCGCGTGATCCTGATTCCGACTTTGCATACGTGCGAGTTGTGTCCCGCCCACCCCAGTCCCCATCCCGCCGCAGTCTTGCGGTCTAGGCCCCTGCCCCCATGGGAACCCCCGTCAAGCACCCTGTCAACCATCCCTGCATCCCACGCCTCGGGCGGTCGGTCACCTTGGCACTTTCACCCTACCACGATGCCGCCCTCTCGGTCTTGAGTGTCACCACCAGGACCCCGGTCCCTCTGGGGACTTAGCCTGGCTCCTACTTGCTCAGAGCCAACGGGGGAACCTTCTTTCCCCGGCCTCCCCCCAGACCCCACTCCACTGCAACCCCAGCACAGCCAGCCTCTCCCACCAGGGCCACAGCATGCGCTGTCACCGTGGGCGACTGCTCGCTCCCTCTGCCTGCAATCCCCGACTCCATCTGTACTCACAACCCTCCCCCTCCACTCCAGCCAGACCCCCGACCCCCACCTCTCCAAGGAGGGATATCCCACCACCACCTCCCAGGCCAAGTGACTGAAGCACACACACGGATGTCTTGAAACACTTTGATTGATTCGACATGACTGGGCCTGAGGCACCGGGCTGTGCGGTCGGTCAGTGAGCAGGCCTGGCACCCGACAGCCGGGGGGAGGCCCGTCCGGGGGCCGGGCACCCGGGAGTCAAGACCCGGGTGTGGTTGAGCAGCTAGTGCCGGGCTGGGGCCACCAGGGAGATGGTTGTCATCCCAAAAGAGCCGCTGAGCAGAGCATTGTGGTGGACCGCCATGCCCACCAGCTCCGGGGTGATGTGCCTCTGACCGCTGTTCTGGGCCTCATTGCCTGCCAGCTCCAGGACCTTGGCAGTCAGGTGCTGCGTGATGGCTGCTAGGAAGATGGGTGCGGAAGAGCTCAGGCGCTGGGAGTAGTGGCCTTCCCGCAGGAGGCACTTCATGTGGCTCACGGAGAAAGACAGCAAGACAAGGGCGATGTGGGAGCGGCCAGACGACCTTCGACGGCCCCTTTTCCTTGGCATGCTGACCGTTGAGCCCGCTGTCTCCGAGGCCTTGCTTTGCAGTGCAGTGGGCTGAGGTGCGGTGGGATAAGTTGCGGTGAGATGAGATGCAGTGGGGTGAGATGCGGCGGGATGAGTCAGCTGGTCCCATCCTCTCAAGGCAACCGGTACTTTCAGACCTTGACTCCGTATCCTAGCAACCATGGGCCGGCCCCTCATTGGTCGGGGCGCACAGTCTGTGACAGGCAGACTCCCTGAGGTCACCGATTTCCCATGCCCCCCACCCCACTCCCACCCCCGCAGGCCTGGGCCTGCAAAGACATGGCACTGGCAGGACCCAGCTCACCCTGCCCATTGGACCCTCTCTTTGTCAGAACGCTCCCTTTCCACAGGAGGAGACCTTTGTACAGAGAAGGCAGCAGACCACCCAGTGGCACCAAGTGTACACTGGCGGTGCTGGGCCACCATCACCACTGTGTCTAGAATGTTGGCACCACCACAAAGAGAAACCCCTGTACCGGCCAGGCACTCACTCCCCACTGCCCCCTCCTGCAGTTTCCCCCACCACACCCCCGTAGTCCTCAGGCAAGCACTCATCAGGTTCCTGTCCACAGCCCTTGGCCTGTTCTGTCGACTTCCTAGAGGTGGAGGCATACAATAAATAGGTGGCCTTCTGTGTCTGGCTGCTGTCACTGAGCATAGGGCTTATGCCCATGGTGGCACAAGTCAGCACTTATTTCCTTTTCCTGGCTGAATAGTATTCCACTGTATGGCTAGACCACACGTGTTTTGTGTCTGCTCAGCAGTGGATGGACATTTGGGTGACTTCTCCCTTCTGCCTACTGTGATGTGCCTACTGTGGTGGGCACACCTGTTTTCACCTCTTTGGGATGTATGTCCATGAATAGATTTACGGGTTTACTTCTAGACTCTTAGTTCTATTCCAGTGATATAAATGAAAACATGAGAAATATTCATTACTTTGAGTTATACAAAAAATTCTTAGGTATGATGTCCAATTTAAAAAGGAAAAAAAGACTTTAAATTGAATTTTATCAAAATTTAAAATTTAGCTCTATGAGAAATACTGTTCAGAGTTTGGAAAGACAAGCAACAGATAGAAAACATATTTTGAGGTCATGTAACTGATAGAGTGCACTTAGGATGTAGATATCTTAAAACTTAAGATAAATAAACAAACAACCCAATTTTAAAAATCCAATTGTCCCAGAAGGTTATGTTGTAGACATCAACAAAATGGTTCTGAAATTTATATGGAAAGGTAAAAGACCCAGAATAGCCAACACAATGGGCTTCCCAGGTGGCACTAGTGGTAAAGAAGCTGCCTGCCAAAGTAGGAGATGTAAAGAGACACAGGTTCGATCTATGGGTCAAGCAGATCCCCTGGAGGAGGGCACAGCAGCCCTCTCCAGTATTGTTGCCTGGAGAATCCCATGAACTGAGGAGTCTGGCAGGATTACAGTTCAAAGGTTCGAAAAGAGTCAGACACAACGGAAGTGCCTTAGCAGCAGCCAACAAAATATTGAAGGAAAGGGAAAAAGTTGGAGGACTGACGTTACCCTATTGAAGACATATCATGAAGCTACAGTAATCAAAATAGTGTGGTATTAGTGAAAGAATAAACAAATAGATAAATGGAATAGACAGAGTGCCCAAAAATGGACCTACATAAAGATAATTGACTAATCTTTGATAAAGGAGCAAAAAAAAAAAGACAATCAAACATAAATACTCTTTTAAATAAATAATACTGAAACAACTGAACATCTACATGCAGAATAAATAAATAAATAAAGACAGACATAGACGTTACACCCAAAGGATGAACACCAAGGTGTACATACTTTTTATATTTTGGATAGCAATCTTTTATGAGATGTGTCCTTTTCAAATATTTTTCTCCCAGTCCATGGCTTGTTTTATTCTCTTGACAGGGTCTTTTGCAGAGAAGTTTTAAACTTTAATGGCATCAAGCATATCACTTATTTCTTTCACGGGTCATCTTTCATGCTTTATCTAAAAAGTCATCACCATACCCATGGTCCTCTGGGTTTTTTTCTATGTTATCTTCTAGGAGTTTTAGAGTTTTGCAGTTATGTCTGTGATCCATTTTGAGAATGGGCCCTTCAAAATAGTTGTTGCCAGTGTCTGTGTCCCTAGGAGAGGTCCCTGTTGCCTCCTACCTCTTTGGAATTCTCTCCAAGATCAGCAAGTGGCTCTCTCCCAGGCATCATTCAAATTATTGCTTTTGGCTTTGGTCTCAGAGTGTATGAGATCTTGTGTTCACCCTTTAAGTGTGGAGTCTCTATTTTCTACAGATCTCTGGCTCTCCCAAAAGTAAGCCCCACTGACTCCAAATGCTCTCAGATCTTGTCTTCCTGGTACTGGACTCAGACTGAGGAGCATGATGTGGGACTCACTCCCCCTCTGTCCTTGGGGAGAACCTATGCAATAGTAATTATCCTCCCACTTGTGTGCTGCCTACCACAAGACTATGGGTCTTGATTATATCACGTCTTCACTCCTTCTACCTGTGTCACTGTGGTTATTTCCTTCAGATCTTTTCTGCTAGTGTTCAAGTTATTCTTATCAACAGTTGCTCTGTAAATAGTAGTAATTTTGGTGTGTCAATGGGAGAGGTGGGCTCAGAGCCTTCCCACTCCACCATCTTGGCCACATCCCTATGGAAAAAAATCCTGTGATTTTGGAGCACAAGAAAATAAAGTCTGTCACTGCTTCCATTTTTCTGCCATCTGTTTGCCATGAAATGACAGGACTGGATGCCATGATCTTAGTTTTCTAAATGTCAAGTTTTAAGCCAGCTTTTTCACTCTCCTCTTTCACCCTCATCAACAAGCTCTTTAGTTCCTCTTCACTTTCTGCCATAAAGGTGGTGTAATATGCATATCTGAGGTTGTTGATATTTCTCCCAGAAATCTTGATCCTAGTTTGTGCTTCATCCAGCCTGGAATTTCACATGATGTACTCTGCCTATAAGTTAAATAAGCAGGGTAACAATATACAGCCTTGACGCACTCCTTTCCCAATTTTGAACCAATCCTTTGTTCCATGTCCAGTTCTAACTGTTGCTTCTTGACCTGCATACAGATTTATACCTCTTAACAGGCAGGTTAAGGTGGTCTGGTATTCCCATTTCTTTAAGAATTTTCCAAAGTTTGTGGTGATCCACACAGTCAAAGGCTTTGACATAGTCAATAAAGCAGAAATAGATGTTTTTTATGGAACTCTCTTGCTTTTTCGATTATCGAGCAGACGTTGGCAATTTGATCTCTGGTTCCTCTGCCTTTTCTAAAACCAGCTTGAACATCTGGAATTTCATGGTTCATATATTGTAGAAGCCTGGCTTGAAGAATTTTGAGTATTACTTTACTTGAGTGTGAGATGAGTGCAATTGTGCAGTAGTTTGAGCATTCTTTGGCTTTGCCTTTATTTGGGATTGGAATGAAAACTGACTTTTCCAGTCCTGTGGCCACTGCTGAGTTTTCCAAATTTGCTGGCATATTGAGTGCAGCACTTTCACAGCATCATCTTTCAGGATTTGAAATAGCTCAACTGGAATTCCATCACCTCCACTAGCTTTGTTCGTAGTGATGCTTTCTAAGGCCCACTTGACTTCACATTCCAGGATGTCTGGCTCTAGGTGAGTGATCACACCATTGTGATTATCTGGGTCATGAAGATCTTTTTTGTACAGTTCTTCTGTGTATTCTTGCCACCTCTTCTTAATATCTTCTGCTTCTGTTAGGTCCATACCATTTCTGTCCTTTATTGAGCCCATCTTTGCATGAAATGTTCCCTTGGTATCTCTAATTTTCTTGAAGAGATCTCTAGTCTTTCCCATTCTGTTGTTTTCCTCTATTTCTTTGCATTGATCACTGAGGAAGGCTTTCTTATCTCTCCTTGCTATTCTTTGGAACTCTGCATTCAAATGGGAATATCTTTCCTTTTCTCCTTTGCTTTTCGCTTCTCTTCTTTTCACAGCTATTTGTAAGGCCTCCTCAGACAACCATTTTGCCTTTTTGCATTTCTTTTCCATGGGGATGGTCTTGATCCCTGTCTCCTGTACAATGTCACGAACCTCCGTCCATAGTTCATCAGGCACTCTGTCTATCAGATCTAGTCCCTTAAATCTATTTCTCACTTCCACTGTATAATCATAAGGGATTTGATTTAGGTCATACCTGAATGGTCTAGTGGTTTTCCCTACTTTCTTCAATTTAAGTCTGAATTTGGCAATAAGGAGTTCATGATCTGAGCCACAGTCAGCTCCCAGTCTTGTTTTTGCTGACTGTATAGAGCTTCTCCATCTTTGGCTGCAAAGAATATAATCAATCTGACTTTGATATTGACCATCTGATGATGTCCATGTGTAGAGTCATCTCTTGTGTTGTTGTGTGTTTGCTATGACCAGTGCATTCTCTTGGCAAAACTCTGTTAGCCTTTGCCCTGCTTCATTTTGTACTCCAAGGCCAAACTTGCCTGTTACTCCAGGTGTCTCTTGACTTCCCAATTTTGCATTCCAGTTTGCTATGATGAAAAGGACATCTTTTTTGGTGTTAGTTCAACAAGATCTTCCAGGTCATCATAGAACAGCTAACTTCAGCTTCTTTGGGGCATAGACTTGGATTACTGTGATATTCAATGGTTTGCTTGGAAACAAATAGAATTCTTTCTGTCATTTTTGAGATTGCACCCAATCTCAATTAATTAATATTAGTCATTAATTAATTAGTCATTAGGGAAATGGAAATCAAAATCACAATGAGATAACACCACTGCCCCATCCACTCTAATGACTATAATTAAAAAAACTAATGATCAAGAGTTCAATTTAGTAAGAAGACACAACAATTGTAATTATTTATACACCCAACATAGGAGCACCTCCATGATAAGGCAATTGCTATCAGCCATAAAGGGGGAAATCAACATTAACACAATAGTAGTGGGAGACTTTAACACCGCACTTACACCAGTGGATCTTCCAGACAGAAAATCAATAAGAAAACACAAGCCCTAAATGATATATTTGACCAGATAGAATTAATTGGTATTTATATGCCATTCCATCCAAAAGCGGCAGAATACAACTTCTTCTCAGGTGCACACAGAATATTCTCCATGATAGACCATATCTTGCCTCTGTAAATTTGAGAAAATTGAGATCATATCAAGCATTTTTTCCTGAGATTACAAATCAATTACAGGAAAAAAAAGATTG